AAGTCAGTCATAGCACTGTCTCAAGGTATTTGGACGGAAGACTGATAACTACGAAAAAACTGCACACCATTGCAGAATCCATGAACACCTTGGAGAACAAAAAGCGACGCAGATCGTTCGTACTGCAGCTCATGGATTATGAGGTCGAAGGGAGGCAACCTGTGTGGATTGACGAAACAAACTTCAACCTATTTTGTGGTCGCACCAGGGGCCGGTCTCTACGTGGCAGTCGAGCGCAATGTACGGTGGCGAACAGCCGTGGACCGAATGTGCACCTTGTCGGTGCCATGACGAAAAAAGGCTTGACAACATGTACCATCTTGAGAGGCAGCTACAACAAGCAGCGATGCCCTGGATAGCTGCGGGAAGTTCTCGATACCAACGGAGCAACGTTTGTGCGAGGTTGCGTTGTGGTTTGCGACAACGCACCCTGTCACACGAACCTGGAGCAAGTGTTTTCGGAGGACCGTTATCGCTCTGAAAGACTTCTACGTCTTGCACCATACTCTCCAGCACTCAACCCCATCGAAGGAATCTGGAGCATTATAAAGGCACATGTCAAACAGGGGATGAAGGGAAGATATGCCGAAATGCTCCGGGTGGACCCTCAAGGACTTTTAAATAAAACAGAGTGGCGGCTCCGTATTCTCGAGTGTGCGGTGTCAGAAGCACGGGCCTTGATTACGCCTGAACACTGTGAACGAATGGTCGAACACGTCAGAAAGAATTACGGACGTGTTGTACATTTAGTCGATTTGTAACATAATCTGTTGCTAGTAAACTTACTGTTTGTAAACGAGTGCTTTATTAACTGTATTGTTGTATTGGGCCGGGGTACATTGTGTACGTTACAATAAGTAGCCAGTTGTGCACCCGCAGTAGCCATGTGGAGCACAGATTTGTTTTCCGTGTCGCGTTGTAGAGCAAACCTGCGAGAGCTAGAATAATCGTTGCGCGCGTAACTACCGTTGCATAGTCGGTAAATATGACTTATCCCTTGTCGTTGTTGGTGTTAAGAAAGCCGGTTCCACCAAATCGCCTTGACATGTTGAATTAGTGATGCCTACGCAGGTGATGAATTGCTCCGCATGGCGCATGCCAGACAAGTTCAAATGGGAACAGCAAGATAGGCATATCCCGTGAATGTTCCCCTTAAGCGGGTCGTTGCAGCATGAGTTGACGTAGTGTTTCGAGACGTGGATGAAGCAAAAACAATGACCTCATTGCACTCGGAACATCCAATTAATGATGACAAATCAGTTAGTAGAAAGGGAAGGCTTGGTGATGCCACCAAAGAGCATCGAGGTGACTCACGAAACCATTCACCGTAGATTCCGTTAGTGGTGATCTGGTAGCGAGTTATGGCGCTCTTTAACTGTACGCGATAAACGCGTTTCTGCCCAAATCGGATCAGATGGTGGTTTGTGCAGTTTCCGCGGATGATCGCGGAGACTAGGTAACGTAGCGGGATGAAATAGCCAGGACAGATCTGGACCAATCTTTCCCGTCGGTTGATTCGCTTTGCAAGTACTGCCTCCGAAACTTCCAAGCGTGGCATTAAAATTAACTTCAGGGCGAGTGAATATTTTCTGGGAGATCATTTGTGTACACTAAAAATAGTAGTGGGCCAAGGACGGATCCTTGTGGCATACCACTGGAGACACACTAGCTGTCCCAATGGCAGTAAACTTGCAGCCAGGTGAGCAGGGAACCACTGTTAACGTACGCACTGATCTTTTGTAGCAGAACGGAGTGGATGGCTTCATCAACTGCCTTGGAAAAGTCGTGTACAATTTCCGATGAGTCACAAATAACTTGCACTTGAGTGCCTTTTACATACTCGTTATACAGCGCAAAATAAAGTGTTGGGCAAGGGCTGTTGTCATCGGTCGACCGGGTGTTGACATATCTTTCCTTTTGATTTGATTACAGCATGGTCCCACTCACAGGCGGACGAACTAACAAGGGACAGTGGTGTGCAACGCGTTAACTGGCTCTTAGCAAGTGAACTGACTCTATCCGTTGGTTGTATCCATCTTCGTGTCAAACACCAACCATTGTTGTCCACCGACCAAGACTGTAAGACTTTAACCCCGCATGAAGACGGAATTGGAAATCAAAGTCAACCGGAAGCACGGGCCTCGGTTGCGCCGGAACACTGTGAACGAATAGTCGAACATGTCAGGGAGAATTACGGACGTCCTGTTCATTTGATCGATTTGTAACATATTCCGCTGTTAGTAAACTTATCGTCTGTAAACCAGTGCTTTTCTGACTCTATCGTTGTATCGGGTCAGGGCGCGTCTTATACGCTGCGAGAGGTAAACATTTGTGCACCCGCAGTAGCCCTGTGGATCCCAAGAAATGTATTTCGTATGCTCGCGTCGCTTCCGCGATTTAGTTGTCCCGTTATAGAACAACCCCGCGAGGGCTAGAAAATTATTTGCTTGCGTTACTACCGTTGTATAGGCAGTAAATATGATTTATCGTTGGTGGTTTTTGTGTTAGGAAAGCCAGCGGATAGCGGCTTACATATGGACATGGAAAAAACAAACGCTGATCTGTGCCTACTTGATCGCAATGGGGGGAGTGTGTGGCTGTTGACCAATTCGTTCAGCCTTTTACGTGAACGCATGCAGCTAGACGTTGCTTGACCTCGTTCAATGATGATCAATGCGGAATAGAAGAGCGCGTGGTGAAAGCGCAAATAACGTTTACTGGGACCTAACGTGCAGTAATTGCGCCAACTGGCTCTTAGCAAGTGAACCGACTCTATCCGTATCACAACTGGACTCTAACCGCAAGTACGTATTTCAACTCGTGGCGAATAAGCAAGAAGACGCGTCAGTCTGGCGCACAGTGTACTGAACACTTAACGGTTCACATGTGAGCACGGAACGTTAGGGTGTGTCCTTGAGTGCGTGCTTATCTACGTGTGTGTGTAGGGCTAATCAGGTTCACGGTCATAGTGAGCGATCATTGGTTGAACACGTAACAGTCCTCCCTGTTTTGGCTGATGTTACAGTCATGGCTGAAAACGTTCGATCGGTTTGCGAATCCGGGTCGATCGGCGTAATTGAGTTTCCCCTGTTGTTCTGTGTTCGTCGTGCTCTGCGATCTCCGAGTGTGACTGACTCACGGCAGGTGTGTCAGTGCTCCTGGGGCGTACATGATCTGAGTGCTGGCGAACAACCCGGCCGTCCGGAAGCTGCAAATCGTTTGGACTTCCTGAGGAATCGAGCACAGTCGCCGGCTGCCAACATTGTTCATGCGGTAACCTGGTGTAAACAGGTTGATGGTCCTGAAATGTAACTTCCGGCTTTGATTCCTCTGAAGACACAAACTTTTTCTGACGCTCCTGTACTTCAACACGCGGGTTCGGGAACAACAAATGAATCCTCGTTCTCAGATTTCTGCCGAACATCAATTCCGCCGGGGATTTCCCGGTAGCCTCAGTGGGTGTAGAACGGTAGGAGAATAGGAACCGATCCAGTTTTGTTCGCAATGTTCCCGTTCGCTGCTTTAGTAAGCCTTATTTCACAGTTTGTACTGCACGCTCCGCTAATCCGTTTGATGCTGGGTGATACGGGGCTGATTTAACGTGTTGGATTCCGTTGTAGGCGACAAATTTACCAAATGCGGCACTGGTAGAAGGCGAACCATTGTCTGTACAAATGGTTTCCGGAATGCCAAACGTAGCGAAGGACGAGCGCATTTTAGTGATGGTGGATTCGGCTGTCGCCTGAGTAACTGGATGTACGTGTAGCGCCCAAAAAGATAACTCTTATCTTTCGTGTACAATTTACTTGTTGACCGATTGTACATTACTCCTTTTTTTAATCTTACAACCGGCTCGACACTCAACTGCCTTGTAAGTTCCCGCGCTCACGTGTACGCTCTTGCCTCGCTTCATCCGTCCGCTTATTGTTGTAGCCCATCGAATACAGTCCGCTGTGTCCGAGTCCAATTGCCTTCTGATATCCGCCCTTAATTCCGCGCATCGTCTCGGACTAGTATTAACTAGTCCTACAAATTGGTGACCCCGATTCGCACGCGCGAATTCAACCTTTTTCTCGTTCGTATTTTTTTGGTGAGTTCGTTCATTTTTCTCGATTATATACCTATATTCATTTGTTTCTTGCGTAATTTTAGTACTTTATCGTATTTTGTTCGTTCTTTATCTTTCGACTCACATTTCGAGAGCGGCATCTGAGTCGTTTCACAGCGTAACCATGCTTACTTTGGCTGTTCCAAGTTTCATGGAACACAGTCCAGAAGTTTGGTTTAAGATATTCGAGATCGAGCTAGAAAATAAGGGCATAACGGCGGACCGTCCAAGGTACAATCAGCTCGTCCCACGCCTTCCTCCGTCGGTAGTGACGCTGATTGAGGACATTCTACTCTGCCCATCGAATGAGGCAAAGTATGAAACGATGAAGTAAGCGATATTGAAAGAGTTACGACCCAGCGCACGAGCACGATTTGAGCAGCTCAATGGTCTCAAGCTTAGAGATCGCAAGCCGTCGGCATTGCTCCGCGAACTTCAGCGCATCGCTGGTCCCTTATTCTTGAGCGAAGAAGGGATAAAGGAGCTGTGGTTTGCACGTCTCCCAGAGCCATTGCCGGTAATGCTGTCCATGTTTATAGATGCATCCCTGAAAGACTTAGCTACTAAGGCAGACGCTGCGTTCGAACGTTTTCCGCAGCAGGCGACCAGTAACTCCGGTGACGTATTCTCACCGATGAAAACCGAATCCCATGTTTGTTCCCAGTCGCTAGACCAATCTGACTCTAAAGACGAGGAAATTGCGCTACTTCGCAGCAGGATAGCGGCAATGAAGGCTTCGAAGCAGCGTGTGCCACGGTCAAATGCTGACCACGTTTTGGCTACCGTTCATTGCGGCTCGTCTGTGCCTGCACCGAGTACGTCACGTTCGGCACGAAAGCGCGACATTTTCCTTACAAGTTCTCAGTCAGATAATGTCAAACCCATCGAAGAAGTATGTTGGTATCACCGCCAATACGGTGGAAGAGCTAGACGTTGTCGGGCTCCCTGCATTAGGCACGACCCAGGGAAAACGATTAGCCCGCATACTAGCACTACTAACGTATCATTCAATAACCAAGCAAACCGACTGTTTTACGTTAAGGATCGACGTTCTTCAATCACGTTCCTCATCGACACAGGAGCGGAAGTCAGCGTCATCCCAGCGACCGCTAGCGACAAGCACTCGAAGCCTACGTACAATTTGCGTGCGGCCAACGGTTCTCCGATAGCTTCATTCGGTCAGCGCATGATGAACCTAGACCTCAATCTTCGCCGAGATTTTCAGTGGGTCTTCATGGTTGCGTCTGTACCCTTCGCAATTATCGGCATAGACTTCCTCCGACATTTTGGGTTGCTTGTTGATGCTGGTCGCCACAGACTTTTAGACGACCGTACGAAACTAGGTGTTGATGGTGTCCTTTCAGATGCCCCGGTAATCAGCCCCGTATTTCGGATCGCAGACGCACCGTCCGACTACTTGAGCCTCCTCTCCGAATACCCGCGACTGGTTCGACCGGCTGCAGAGCTTCCACCAGTCACGACAGAGGTCGCTCACCACATAGTTACGCGCGGTCAACCAGTTAGCGCACGACCAAGACGGCTTGCTCCAGACAAACTACGGGCAGCACGAGCCGAATTTGACCACATGCTTCAACTTGGTATCGTCAGACCGTCCAACAGCCCATGGGCGTCGCCTCTGCACATGGTCCCGAAGAAGGTTGTGGGGGACTGGCGTCCTTGCGGCGACTATCGATCCTTGAATACGGTAACCACGCCTGATCGCTATCCGATCCCACACATAGTGGATCTCACCGCCAGTCTGGCGAGTAAAAATATCTTCAGCAAAATCGACTTGGTACGCGCATACAACCAAATTCCGGTAGCCGAGGCGGACATCGCTAAAACCGCCGTGACGACTCCATTTGGTTTGTTCGAGTTTCTGCGCATGCCATTCGGTCTAAAGAACGCCGCGCAAACTTTTCAGCGTTTCATCGACCAAGTTTGTCGCGGTTTAGACTTCGCTTACGCGTATCTTGACGACATTTTAATAGCAAGCTCTTCACGAGAAGAGCACATACGCCACGTGCGAACACTTTTTGATCGTTTATCTCAACACGGGGTGACGATCAACGCAGAAAAGTGTTCGTTTGGTGTCGATTCAGTTAATTTCAAAACGTTAATCGACCAAAAATGAAGCAAATATATACAATATCTACAAAGTTAAAAGTATTTACACTGTACATAGTCGGAGAAACGGACGGGCTTACGTACCTCCCGACCACGGCGATTGGTCGTGGGAGGCGGCGGACTAGATTCGGGAGATGTTGGACCGGCTTGTAGACCGACATCGTGGTCTGGATGAACTGGACCAGGATGCTGTAAACTGGTGCGATGAGTTGTGACGTCGCACGAAGCACTACTAGACGAAGTAGGCGAGGTAGTTTCTTCCATAAAGGCGGGTTTCGGACGGTCGATGGTGACGACTTCGTGTCGACCACCGCGGTCAATAGTGTACGCCTTACTCGCACGATGCAGCACCTTGAAGGGTCCTATGTACGGCGACTGAAGAGGCTGTCGAACAACGTCTGCGCGAAAAACGACGTGTGAACACGTAGACAGCTTCTCGGGCACGTACACTGGTGTCTTCTGCGATCGTGGAACGGGTGGAGGTAACTCACGCATCTGTGTGAGCCAATCGATCAGTGTAACTTCCGTAGTCAAAAGTGGAAGTACATGGGGCTGGTGCTACCAGCTGTCCGGGCAACCGCAGCGTGCAACCGTAGACCAGTTGCGCTGGTGTGGTTTTTTTTTTTTTTTTTTTTTTTTTTTTTTT